CGAGTATCGTGGTTTGCCATAAGTGCGGATCCTATTCGGAAGGTTTGGGTCGAGGGATCACTGGAGTGGGCGGCATTCGAGTGAATCACCTAGGCACGGCCACTTAGCCTGCCCGCGTCCAGGATGGTCGCGATCCGAAGGGCTCTAAGTCGCCCCCAACCGTTTATGTCAACCCAGGAATACCTCTGGCCCGATTGGTTTTCGAAGAGCAAGCAAAGGCCAGAGGTGAGGAGGCACCAAGTCCTCCATAGTCGGCCGTGCTCTTTCACGGCGGACTTCGAACACCCCATCAGTTGTGTGCGTGTCCTCCTCCTCCTCCTCCTCCTCCTCTTCCTCCTCCTCCTCCTCCTCCTCCTCCTCCTCCTCCTCCTCCTCCTCTCTCCCTCCTCCCCCCATTCTCCCCCGGGGTGTGTGTGGGGGGGGGGGGCGCACGCGCAGCCGCAGCACGTCGGTGTGCTGCCAAGGGAGGCCAGGACGCACGCGCACTTCCCTGGGCGGCGCGGCCGCGCGCGCGGCGGCGTGGCGCAGGTCAAATCAGGGGGGAGCAGGCGGGCCGGGCTGGCAGAATTCGGCGCACGCGCACACACAGACACACACAGACACACGCACACGCACACACTCAGACACACACACACACACACACACACACACACACACACACAGACACACACACACACACACACACACACACGCACACACACACACACACACACACACGCAAAAACACACACACACACACACATACACACACACACACATATTTTTTTCGTCAGCGGCGAGGCAGAACTGCACCAGCCAGCGAGCGGCGATCCGGGGCAACCGATCGGCGAATTGCCCGGCAAGCAAGAGGGGGAATCAGACAGGCAAGGCGGCCGCGAAGGACAGGAGAGGGCGGAGGGCATTCAGACGCGGAAGAATGCCATGCTGAGTGCGCCGGCGCCACACGCGCGTACACGCACATTTCCTTCCGACGCGGTAAAGATATCAGGGAGCAGGACACGGGCAGGACGATTGGCTTTCTTGTGAAGCCAGATGGCGAGGCCACACAACACGCAGACAACCTCTTTCTTCGACCCGACCCTCCCCGCCAAGTCTTATGTCGGGCGTGTCCCCCTACAGAGGGATGTTCGACGATTTTATATATATATATATATATATATAAACGGTAAAACAAATAATACATAATAGTCCCCATATTATGTTTCGGCTATTTTGGGATGTATTGTTGCGTGTTTGTTTTTATGTTTCGTGGAAGCTCCCCTTGTAGGGGGACACTTTTTTACTAGCTCGGAGAGGGCGCCCTGTGGCTAGGGAAAAGGGAAGAAAGCAGAAGGGGACGACGAGGAGAAGACGAGAAGCCGCAGCAGCAACAACAGCAAAGCAGGCGCGGCCCTCGGCCGACACCTGGCACCCCGACCTTGCGGGGTGCCGCCCCAGGCGCCCGGCGCCCAACAGCTCCGCGCGCTCAGGCCCCGCCGGCCTGCCCGCACCGCGAGGGGCAGCCGCGCCTCGCGCGCCCGTTGCCGGCCAGCGCACGCTCGGCGACCCGCCAGCGACCCTCCGCGTCGGGGATCGCCGCAGCGGCCGCCAAGAGCCGGGCCCGCGCCTCGCGGAAACCCAGCCCGCGAATGGCGACCTGCAGCGCCGGGGCGAGCACCCGCGCGGCCGGCCAGCCGGACCCGTCCAGGTCCTCCCGCAGCGCCCGCAGGAGCAGCTCCTTGGTCAGCCCGCCGGCCTCCGGACCGTCGCCCCCCGCCCGCTCGGGGGGGGCCGGTTCAGGCGCGCCTGCGCCGGCCTCGCCGACGGCGCCCTGCGGGGGCGGAGTGTCCGCCTCGGGGCCGTCGCCGCCGTCGCCCTCAACCCATGCCATGGGGGGGGCCGGAAGCAGCTCGTCGTCCAGCTGCTCGTTCTCCGTGAGCGTCGCCCAGCAGCGCTCCGCCAGGCTCCCGCCCATCGCCTCGTAGCAGACCTCGATGTCGTGATCGCCCTCGTCCAGGGCGAAGTCGAGGGCAGCCGCCCCCTCGGCGGGGCCAGCGGCGCGGAGCGCCTGGCCCTCGCGCGGGGGCGTGGCCACCACCGCCGCGCCGCGCGGCTGGTGGCAGTCCGGGCTCAGCGCTCGCGCGCTGCCTCCCCGCGGCTCCACCGCAGGAGCACCTGCCCCTCCGGGAGGTCCGTCGCCGTGAAGCCCGACCAGCCGGCCTCCTGGAGAGCCGCTGCGACCAGGCGCGCGCTGGGCACGCCCGGAAGCGGCCCCGGCGTGTCCGTCGCGGCCTCCGCTGCCGCCGGTGCCGCAGGGCCGGGGCGGCTCTCCGCCGGGTTCCGTCGCCCCTCGGGGGGGGCCGGTGGTGGCGGCTCCGCCGCCGCCGGCGGGGGCAGCGTCGGCCGCGTCCGTCGCCCCGCGGTGGCCGGTGCCGGCTGCCCCGGCGCTGCCGCCTGCCGCTGCCCTGCGGCGGGCGCTGCGCGGCGGGCGTCCCCGGCGCCGCCGCCCCGCCCGGCTGCTGCCGCCGCGGCTGCTGCTGCTCCGCTCTGCCCCGCTGCCCGAGCCGCCTCCGCGCTCAGCCCCGCCGTCGGGGCTGCTGCCGCCGCTGCCGTCGGCGCGCCCGCGGCGCCCGTCTCCTCGTCCGAGTAGTTGTCGTAGGAGTCGCTGTCCTCCTCCGGGGGCTCCCGCGCCGGCGCCCCGGGGCTCGGCTCCGCAGCCGGGCCTGCCGCGGGCGCCGCCGCCGGCTCCGCAGGCGGGCCGGCCCGGCGCCCCGGCCTGCAGGGGCCAGGGGGTGGCGCGGCGCTCGGCTGGCCAGGAGCGGGCCCGCCCGGCCGCGCGGGGGAGCGGCGCCGGTCGCGGCCGCGGTGCCGGCGGCTGCGGCTGCGGCTGCGGGGCCGCCGGCTGCGGCTGCGGGGCCGCCCGCGCCGTAATTAGGCGCCGCCGCCGCGGCTCCCGTGTCGGTGCCGAGCGGTCGCGCCGGCCCGTGCGCCTCAGCGGGCTCCGCGAGCGCCGCCCAGCGCCCCGCGCACCCTCCGAGTCCTGTCCAGCCTGGTTGCCCCGGCTGCGGCGCTGGCCGGAAGGGGCGCCCGGGCTCCAGCCAGGGGCCGCCGGCCGGCTCTTGGGCTGGCACCCGTGCCGCAGCGGGGTCGTTGGAGCCGGCCGCCGAGCCCGCTCCTCCTCCCGCGCCGGCCCTGGCGGCGTCGGCGGCTCCGCAGCCGCCTCCCAGCGCGGGTGCGACAGCCGGACCTCGCGCGGGGGCCGGCTCCGCGGCGCGCGGCCCGGGCGCGCCTTCGCCTTCGCCTTCGCCTGCGCCCGCCGCCACCACGGCACCATCGCCGGCGTCGAGCCACACGCCAGGCGCCGAGGGGACAGGCGCCGCGCCTGCCACCAGGTGCCAGGCCCAGCCTGGCGGGAGGCAAGGGAGGCACACCCAGCAGCCCGCCTGCATGCGCCGCGCCGCGGCGCGCGCGGCCCTGCGCCAAAACAGCTGGTGGGCCCTCGAGCCCACGGCCGTGGCAAGCTCCCAACCCCCCCCACGGGGGTTGGGAACTTGAGCCAAAATGGCTTGAGCCAAAATGGCTTGAGCCAAAATGGCTACGGACCCCTTTGTAGGGGGACACGCCCGGCTCTCCCTCTCTTTCACACTCCCCTTCTCTAGGCCTCCTTCATGGGGTCGGAGTAGGTGGGGTCGGAGGACCGCGCCGCGTCGCCGACGCATCGGCGATGCATCAGCGATGCGGCTCGATTCGATGTGGGGCCCGATGTTCTCCACGCCGACGTCGCCAATGCATCGCCGACGTCTCTAGTACATCGCCGATGCCGATGCGTCGGCAATGCATCGCCGATGTGTCGGCGATGCGGCGAGATCTTCCAACCCCATCTATTCGGACCCCATCTAGGAGGCCTCTAGAGGCTCTCCCTCTCTTTCGCATTCCCCTTCCCCTTAGTCCCTTCCTCTACCTCCCCTCCCCGCCCCTCCCCCTCCCCCAGTGGTACTCCCACTCAGGCCCTCCTCCGCTTTCCAGTCGCCACTTTTTTTTATCCCGTTTCTCTCGTATCTCGGAACCTCTTTCCTGCACCGTTTGCGCTTATATGCCCTTGGGGTGTCCGCGTACTTTCGTTTCTGCTTCGTCCTGGGAAGCTTGGTCGCGACCTCGCTTGGGTATCCGTTTGTTCACCTTCGTCCCGACCGAAGTGGCTTGAATCATATGTTGCGTGTTCTGGGGCGAGCAGCAGCAGGCATGTGCCATGCGTCGTTTCACGTGGAGTGGATTGAGGGGGCGTTCGCTGCGTTTTTGGATCGTCGGTACCCTTTCCCCAAATCAGCACCTGCACGTTCTGAGGAACTGGGGGCGTTTGCTGCGTTTTTGGATCGTCGGTACCCTTGGTGCTCTATCGAACTGTGTGCGTGCCGGGCTGTGGGTTCGAGTGCACCTTTGGTACCAATGGTGGGCGTCACTGGTGCACCAAATCTAGACATATTTTGTATACATACACACATAGATGTATACGAATACATCGGTTGCACAATGTAGTGCGACACAGAGATTGCGCCACCCATTTTGCATCGGAGGGATTGCATCACGCATGTCACATTGTGCACCATTTGTAATTTACCTTACGAGCTAAGTTCACAAGTTGCTTGATATCGGCTCCTGGAGGCGTGGGGCTGTTTGAGGGCTCATTTCTGGGGCGCTCTTCGGCCCTGTTGGTGCGCATGCAGCTTAAGCGCCACACTCAGGATATCCTCTCGCGCTCGAATCCGTCGCCGCCTGTCGAGCAGGTCTGGTATCCTCGTCTTCCCTCGTCGTTTTCGTACGTACCCCCCCTCCTCGGTCTCTTCCCCATTCTCCAGTCATCATCGTCCCTCCCTCCACCATCCTCATCCCTCCTCGTCCCATTGTTCTTCAATTCTGCTCGTTATCTTTCCCTCACAATATTCCCACCTGTCATTCAACCCACTCTTCCTCGTACTTCTCATCATCCACCCCAGCTCCCGAACCTCCATGTCTCCGCGCAGGTCCAGGAGCGGTTCGACGTGCGCAAGGAGGACGTGGCGCAGCCCGAGTTCTTTCAGCTGAGGTCACATCGTTCCTTCCAGGTCCCTGCGCGGATCTGCGAGTGGGGGGCAGTCATAATTCCCCTCGTTATGCAGTTCTTCCTTTTTCCTTATCCTTATTTCCCTCCCTCGGTCCTGTCCCTCCCTTGTCCCCGCCCAGAACGCAACGATCCCGAATCCATGTCCGTGCAGCGTCGAAAGAAGAGGCAGCGTAGCAGTACTGATATGGAAAACTGCGAGTGCGTGGAATCCCGGGCTGCCCAGGTGCCGCCGCCTAAGGACCTCGATCCGAGGCGAAAGCAGTCGTGGCAGCAGTGGTTGTCCCCCCACCAGCGTCGCTCCCACAACAGAACCCATGGCGAGATCATAGGCAAGATTCGTGGTGGAATTCTTGGAGGCACGCGTCCTGGCAGGACTCGTGGCAGCGGCAGGACTCGACTCCGTGGCAGACCTCGTAGCAGCATCACGACTGGTACGGGGACGGCGGGCCATGAATACGCCGACGACGACGACGACGATGACGCCGAAGACGACGACCACGACGACGCCGACGACGACGACGAGACGCCGCCGACGACGACGACGACGACGACCACGACGACGACGACGACGACGACGACGGCGTGGGACGACAAGCTGGTCAGTGCCAGCGCGTACGTTTCCGAGGGCCGCCAGCCTGCGAGGGCAGACCAGGACGGCGGACCCCGGAGACAACCTGGCCACCCGACCACGCTTGACACCCATAGCATTAAGTCGGGCCTGTCCCTCTACAGGAGGGAAGTTCAAAAATAGCCGAAAAATAGTCGGGGGACGATGTTTTGACTTCTTCTTTTTTGTTTGAATTGTTTGAGTCCTTTGGGTGTATGTTTAATTTCTCGCCCTGAATCCCCATGTAGGGTGACAGGCCCAGCCTAACCATAGCAGGGGTCGAGGAAGAAAGAGCTAAGTAGAGTTCGCGACGTGGTTCGGGACATCGAGGCCAGCAGGCCCGGCGGTCTCTCCGAGGGGACCGGGGGATTCGACCGCCGCCCGTGCCGCGTCTACGGTCGCATTCCCAGGGTGCGTTCGGTTTCAGCTTCAAGAGCTCCTCGAGGTTTTTCTCCCTTTCTTCCCGCCGTTCCATCCTCGGCCGCACCCGCTGTTTTCGCCCTGCTTCCTTCATTTTCCGGAGACTCCGCCGAGTCCGAGACTCCTGGCCGGGCTGGAGTCGAATTTGGGGCTTGCGATTCTTTTCGCCGAGGACGGTCTTGGCGAGTTCCAAGACAAAGTGTTTTTGGACGAGCTCTTGCAGTGGTCCGATCAGAAAGTCAGCCACCCTCGGGGAGATGAGGTGGCGCGGAAGACTCTTGTGCCTGTGGAGCGATCTCAGTTTGCCAGATCAGATTGAGCCGAATGTAAGGCGATTCTCTCTACCATTGCCATTCGGGCCTTACCTCCAGCCGATGCAACTCTGGCCCGACGTCGCCATCCCGACAGAGTCCTGTCATCGCGGATGGCACGCCTTTCTAAGCCGATGGAGGGAGTCGGAGCGGCCCCAAGGTTCAGCGACGACCGCGCGCGCGGACACCAGGGCCATTGCGGCGAGTCCCCTTCGGTGCATGCGCCAACCCCCCAGACAGAGCATCCATCCGACCTTACAAGTTATAGCGCCCATGGGCTGAAGTCTGCAGATTGCCGACTCGAGGATTGCGTTTTGTCAAAGCGACAAGTTTCTTGGACCCAGCGGGGCCATCTACGTTGAGCATTGCTATGAGTTGAGATTGGTCGAGCTCGTGGCCCCCGTTTGCGTTTTGCACGACGCCCCGTTCTTCGGTGTCGAACTTTGACGGATGTTATGGTTTCCTTCTTTTTTTCAAGTCTTTGTTAAGACCTTGCCCTTGGCTTCTGCGACGCAAGTTTAATTGTCCGGAGGCACTAGCGTTGGTTGAAGCGGGAAAGTGGATCGTCTCGGGCGAATCCCAGCTGTTGACCGAGCTAGGCGAGAAGCTGAACAGGAGGTTTCAGTGCGAGAAGTGGATGGAAAAGGAAGCCGACCATGCAGGGCGCAATTTCTGTACTCTGACAGGATAGTCGTGGATAAAGAAGAGTGCATTCGCGAGCAAATGTTCGTTGCGTTTGCGAGTAAGGCTCGCAAGGCTTCTCCCGATCCCCCTTCGAACCGCGAGGAGAGCCGTTCCTATCGCACTGTCTCTGCTCAGGCCCGGCAGGCCCAGTGGCTCGCGATGGGATCGCGCTTAAACGTTGCGGGCTAAGCCTCTTCGCTTGCGGCCTCGCTGCTGGCGCCCGCCGTCGCCGACGCGCTGACCTTCCGAGAGCGCGCGAGACTTCGAAGGCCCCCGAGCAGCGTCTCACGACAGCAGTTTGGATCCAGCCTCAGCGGCGCATGTCGCGGCCAGCGACGCTGGGGGGCCCAGCAGTGCAAGGCGCGGCGCGGCCGCGGAGCCCCGGTTCACCGCGGCGG